TCACAGGTGAAAGATATTGAACTACTAGTAGACAAGCGTTTCTTCCCCCCCCTCCCCCTAGAAGACATCATACACCTAATATTAAACATTACTGCATCAGTAGACCACATTAAAGCCCTTGCTGATTTAGAGAACCAAAAAAGAACCCAGCAAACAAGCAAAGTTTGTGATATTTATTGTTTAAAAAAAACAAAACAAACATCATGACTCCTATGACTTCACTTGCTGCAACAGCCTCAACATGCCTGGTGAGAAGCGTTCATTTTGAGTAGTCTGGGAGCGCAGTGGTGCTGTATCCTGAGGGTCAGGCTGCAACACAGACTCATAGCTTGAAGCAAGTTGTACATTACTGGGTTGCTCTAGGGGTTGGGAACCAAAACTGGAAAGAGACCCATAACTTGACTGCTCTAGCATAGAAGGGAGCTGGAATCCAGGCTGAAGAGACACAGATTGGCCACTGGGCTGGGACACAGACTGGTAGTGAGCTTGTGCTGACTGGTAGCTGGTTTTTGCTGACTGCAGGCCACTGGGTTGCGAGACAGACTGGTATCGGGTCAGTCCTGGTTTTTGGCCACTAGGCTGTTTCGTAGACTGGTAGCTGGTTTGTGTGGACTGCAGGCCACTAGTTTGTGGCACAGACTGGTAGCTAGCTTGTGCCGACTGCAACACACTAGGCTGAGATATAGGCTGGTATTGGATCGGTCCTGGTTTTTGGCCATCAGGCCGGGGCACAAACTGGTAACGTGTTTGGGCTGATTGGTAGCTGGTTTCAGCTGACTGCAGGCCACTAGGTTGGGGAACAGACTGGTAGCTGGTTTGTGCTGACTGCAGTCGACCGAGATGGGACAGAGCCTGGTACCTGGTTTGTGCTGACTGCAGGCCACTGGGTTGAGAAACAGGCTGGTATCGGGTCAATCCTGGTTTTTGGCCACTAGGCTGTTGCATAGACTGGTAGCTGGCTTGAGCGGACTGCAGGACACTGGGTTGGGAGACAGGCTGGTATCGGGTCAGTCCTGGTTTTTGGCCACTAGGTGGTTGCATAGACTGGTAGCTGGCTTGTGCTGACTGCAGGCCACTAGGTGGGGACAAAGACTGGTAGCTGGCTTGTGCCGACTGCAGGCCACTGGGCTGAGAGACAGGCTGGTATCGGGTCAGTCCTGGTTTTTGGCCACTAGGCTGTTGCATAGACTGATAGCTGGCTTGTGCTGACTGCAGGCCACTAGGTTGGGGCACAGACTGGTAGCTGGTTTGTGCTGACTGCACGCCACTAGGTAGGGGCACAGACTGGTAGCTGGTTTGTGCTGACTGCAGTCGACTGAGATGGGACAGAGCCTGGTACCTGGTTTGTGCTGACTGCAGGCCACTGGGTTGAGAGACAGGCTGGTATCGGGTCAGTCCTGGTTTTTGTCTACTGGGCAGTTGCATGGACTGGTAGCTGGCTTGTGCTGACTGCTGGCCAAGACTTGAACTCAGGATGGGCCTGTCACCAGAAAATAGTTCAGAACCAACTTGAAGTCTACTTCCCTGGGGCTTGACAAAGGATTGGGCATTAGCCAACTGTTGACCACTGGACTGGGAGCCAGTCTGCACTGGTTGCTGGCTATTAAAGGCCACAGACTCCTTACTAGTCTGCACTACAGTTTGATAGTTAAGCTGTGCTGGCTTGGGTACGGTCTTACTTCTCACACTTGTACTCAATGCAGTGGCTAGAGAACCAGAAACAAAACTGCCACCTGAAGATATCAGGGAGCCTGGATTTTGCCTTCTAACATCAGATTCAGAACCAATGTTATATACACTAGTCACTGGACCAGAGCCATAGGAGCCAGTTTGAGGGCTGTAGTTTACATGGTTATATACACCATTAACTGTAGCACCATAAGTGAAATTCTTGGATCTTAGTGGCCTGATGGGATCCGATACATATCCTTGGCCATAATCTTGTTTGGTACAATCACGAAAAAGCCTCAAGAGCGTCATCTGCCCATCTCTAATAGAACTTGACTGAATAAGACTTACCACTTCCAATATGCCCATGGACACAAAAGCCAAAAAGTGCTAGAGAAAATCTGCAAAACACACACTTGTTAAACACTTTGCTTTACAGAGAAAAGAAAAAGAAAAAAAAAAA